CTGTCCACATGTCCAGAATTAGAATTAGCATTAGACTGTCAGCAGTCTCTTACACAGTGACTTCACCTACTGTATATAATGTAGGCAGTACATTTACATGTATGGATTTAGCTGACACTTTTATTTAAAGAATGCTCACGTGCTAACCGCTACACTATGGAACCACTGTAGACTATCACTGTGGTGAGTAATTAGGCCGAGTCTTTTTCTTGTTGCCTCACTGATCGTTATAAATGGCTTTGTATATCTGCTGGTTATGTTTAAGCCCAAGGTTTTCTTTTGTTCCGACATCCAGCTTTTCTATATGGCCCAGATGTGAAGGCAGGCAGCATTGTATAGCAGCCATTAAAAAAAGCCCATTGTGCTGGATATATTGACAAAGTACTGTTGAGTTTACTGAAGCAGCAAGACATTTTTCTTCCAAACTTTTAGCAGTTGGTCCAGCACCAGTGTAGCACAGTTGAATCAATTTCGAATTAGATGTTTCCACAATTGAATCTCCTACTGTAAAGTGGGCTTGGCAGAAGTCTCCTGGCTATCTGTCAACCTGAAATCAATTAAAATGGACCCAAATCCTAGCTGATAAATTAAATCAATCAGCAAGACTCAAATAAAACTGAGTTGCAAACTTAATAAAAACATGTTTTATATTGGTCAAAAGCTCAGTGTCAGGATTATAAGGTTTGAAGACCAAACTAAATGGAAGTTCTTCAATTTGGCTTAAGGAAGCCATCTTTGTTTTTTGTTCATATACTGTATAATTCACTGCCCTGAGTTGTGATATTTATCTCTGTGATTAATTGCTGTCTGCTGTGACAAATGTAGACAGTTTGGTGCTGGCACTCCATAAGCTGATTAGTTATATCTTTCAATTGTTGGTTGAAATCTACAGTATTTGATACAAGCACTAGTGGCATGTGACCAAATTTGTAGAGGTCAAAATAGCACAGTTTTTCCCCTGAGATAATTGTTTTTACACACTTTGAGGCATTAATACCAAATGTCTTTTCTGGCTTTATTACATTTGTAAGGTAACACATCAAGGGGAACACTGTTGCTCCACTTTTCGTGCCCTTGGCTCTTTTCCATTCTCTTCCACATGCTCAGTAAGTTTTATGACTTGGGCCCCTGAAACCCATCCAGAAGCCGTTCTGTTTTGCTTTTTTTTCTTGGAAGTGCATGGCTTCAGTGGAGAAACCCGCTCGGCTATCTGGGTTTTGACATGGAAAGTGTTTTTTAGAGATTTGAGAGATTTTTCTTAAGGACCACAATTGCAACGCAGACAGTGAGGAATTGTAATGTGCCCATGGCAGACCAAAACTCTTTCATACAATGTCAGAGAAAAACACCAGTAAATCGTGCTGCTGAGGGAGTGTTCCACTGCAGGCATAAAGGAACCTCAAAGGGCTGGTAAAAGTCATATCTGACACAGAAGTGAGAGCAACATAAAATATTTGGTAAAAGGGTGTTAGCAAGAACAACAAAATAATTTTTAAAAGGTAGATTATAAACTTTTAGTGTCAACCTTTCATTTAGAATGTTTAAATTCCTAACAATTCGAACATTTTTTGGAAAGCTAAATCAAGTTTACCTTTGATAAATCTTTTATTTCACTAAACTCAATAAAACCATGGCCAATTTTGAAGACCCCTTCAGAATCATTCCATTAAAGATTCATGTTTGCTAGAGCTACAACAAGCCTTTACTTTTACTTTTTAGTTGCAAAACAACCCAATGTAACAATATAACCTGTTACCTGTCTTTTCTCTGCAAAAAAAGGACTTGGTGAGGTGTAAATACCCCTCCTGAATACTGAATAGAATACTGGTGTCAAACAGAATTTACACACACTGAAACTCCATCCTTTGGTCCAACAAGTCAAAGTTAAATCTCATTGGCTCAGGTACTTGTGTAGTGTTCAGTGGATATTGTAGCACATCCAGAACCAGAAATCTCCTCGAGGAGTTGGGAAATGGAAAGAAAAGAGAATATGAGAAGATTTGGAAAGCCTTAAGCTAGTGTCGACAGCTGATTTTGATACTGTGGAAACTGTATCAAAAACTGAAGAAACAGTAAAGTAAAGATATTTGCCAATGAAAAATGGGCTGAGACACCACAGGAGACTTACTTATGGTTCAGTTTAATATACCTTAAAATAAGTGGCTTTTTTGACCTAATATACCTTAAAATAAGTGGCTTTTTCGACCAAAACAGGAAGAAAACCATTTTCAGATTAGGACGACAGGAGGCATTTCTACTCTGGTTAGTTTTTAGTTTAATATAGTTGTGAAGCTACATGTGTTAAAGGAGTTCAAATTTCCAAAGTCCACTCTATTATACTGTTACTAACCAGTTTTCATGAATGGATCAAAATGGTTCCTAGAAAGAAGGGAGGTGGGCACAGGATTGTTCCAGCAGGGAGGATGGCAGTCTTTATATTTGAGTAGGATGTCGAAACAACAGCGAGGAATCACCACATTTATCACCGAGCCCATTTCACTGTCACTGTAATAAAATTATTAGCATCTGCGACTGCTCAGGGATTGAGAGAGAGCAGGGGGTAAGAAGTGAGCCACAGAGAGAGGATATGACAGAGGAGGGAGAGTGTGACAGAAGAAAGTGGAGTTTTCTTGTTAGACACTGCCCTGGGCTAAGAGAGGCTAACACCTTGACTTCAATTATTAACATTCCACTTGGCTCCTATATTCAGCTCCACCTGTACAGCAACATACTCTCCTCCTCTCTGTCTTTCCTCTTCACCATCGTCCTTGTTCAGGTTGAGATAAAGGCACCTGCTCATTGCCGTGGGCCGTTGCTGTGACACCATCCGTCTCAAATATTTATAAGCCAAAACTAACACACTTAATATTCACAAAAGCCTCACCATAAAGTATGATACACCTCATAAATACGCAGCAGGCAAAAGTAAATAATGAAGACAGTATTTTGGGTATTGGAATTGTTAGGAATGTGTAGCATTTTTTTCTTCATATTTTTTATAAAACTTAAAGGTTCCTGTGTCTTACGTGTTAAAACTAGCTCCAGCACTTAACCCAAATGTATTCTGTGCTGATCTGCCTGCAGAATAATTCAGGTTACAGATTAGAAGGTCTGTGTCTTTGTGTAATGTCAAAGATCTATTTCCATGACACCCAGATGTTTTGTTTAACAGCCTCAAGCTTTTTTTTTTTTTAACTCAAATGCGAGCCAGTGCTGCTTTATGGAAATCACAGCCTGGAAATTGGGACAGCGAGTGATGAAACAGTATATTACGTAGGTGTGGATGCTGCACACAGGGCCGGCAACTCCTGCATCACTTTCCCTGTGCTTCTGCATCTCATGCATTTACAGACAGATGAAGACATTGCTCTTTCAACTGGCCCTTCTTTTTTATGTCGACTTCAGTCTGTCATTTTTCATCGGCCTTGATGTTAACCTGAGACAGTGATCGGCTGTCTGAAAAGTGACAGCATTTTGACATCTCTATTTCTACACTTGGCTCTGCATTTTCTTGAAATACCTCATTTAAATGTGTGTGTGTGTGTGTGTTTGAACATCTGCGCATGATATATATGAGATTCTATAGCAACAGATTTGACTTCACCTTAACGTCTTGCACAGAGTGGTCCATTCATTTTATGTTTTACCTTAAGTCAGTGGTTCTCAATGTTTTTCTCCTCTGTACCACCTGAGAAAACAGTGATCTCTCTGAGTACCACCATGATGACCAACATTAGAATACAGCAGCAGAGGCCTTCACTGTTAGCTTCCACCACAGGAGAGATGTTTACAAAGATGTTTAGGTTTAATTGTTTTAATTTTGCATGGTATGTTTCAGGTTTTTTCAGTTGAAAATGTAAATGTGAAAATATGAATTTTCCATGCATACCACTAGAGAGCGCTCGTGTACCACTGGTGGTACGCGTACCACAGTTTGAGAAACCACTGCCTTAAGTCATTTGTTAGTAGTAGAAAAAAAATATAGCACATGATTTATTAAAGAAAATGCAGCATTTTGGAAACTTTAAGCCAAGTGTTTGCCTGAAGTCTGAGGGCAGATCCCTTCAGATAAACCTGTCAGTTGTAAGGAGAAGAAGGATTTTGACAAATATAAGTGGGTCACTGAGGTTGTCAGCTCTGTAACTACATTGTCTGAAAGTATTATCAGTAAGTCATCGTCGTGGTACGAGAGTTATAATTATGATTTGACTCATCCCTCTCCTCCAGTGCTGGAGCAGAGATACATGTTGTTGTATTGGACCATCCTCCCATACCTCTACACATCCACTCTCTCTGCTCTCCTGCCAAGTGCTTTGAGACCATCCAACACTTTCATTCCTCACTTACATGATTGTTTTCTCTTCTCATCTCCTTATGCTGCACTTCTTGGACATCCATGCGCCACAGCCTTCCAAGTGCAGGTTAATGCCAACATTTCGAGGCACATTGTAAACATAAGGCTGTTCATTTCAATATTCTTCACTTAAATCATTTTAAAATGTGCTGAGCTGATAGGAGTAAGCAAACACTGTGGTGAAATATTTACCTCATAATAACAATACTTTGACTCAACATCTTTCTTTTCACAAATCTACTAAATGTGACACCTTTAAATGTGATGAAAAAAACAGAGTGAGATGTGTTTGTTTCAGTGGACTGTAAAAGCCTATGTCATGCATTAAAAAGTGATTACTGAGTTACAGTCAGCACAAACTAAATTTGTTTCAAAAGTACTTGTTAGAGGACTGTGAGTCATTTGTGCCCCTCACAAACAACTTCTTTTTAAGTGCACAATCAGGAATTTATCTCTCCTATGCATTATCTTCCCTGAGAACTGTGAAGTTGTAAATATAAAATAAATTTATCTTCCCTGAGAACTGTGAAGTTGTTTTTGTTTTAATTTCACACATTTTTTGCTACTTTATTTTCTAATAAATATAAAATAAATATCACAAATATCACAAATATCAATTTTTTTTTTTTTTTTTTTTGCCCACCAGGTTTTCCGAAGCGGTGAAGGCATGGGCATCCGTCTGGATAGCGCCTCAGCTTTCCAGGGTGCTGTCATCTCACCCCACTATGACTCCCTGTTGGTTAAAGTCATTGCCAGCGGGAAGGACCTGCAGACAGCAGCCTCCAAGATGAGCCGTGCCCTGGCCGAGTTTAGAGTCCGAGGTGTCAAGGTAGGACGATCGGCAACTCGCTCTCTCTCTGTCGCCCACTCTGTCTCTCTCTCTCTCTCTCTTTCTCATACACACACACTGATGTGAGTGAGATTTACTCCAGCTTGTACTTGGATGTTGCACATTGTGGTAAGTGCTGTTTATTAACACTTTATTTATTCATGTGAACAGACCTAGTTTATTCACAAGAAAGTATATTTTGGTTAAGCTTTGTTTTCAGTCTGTAGACCAGTTCCCTCCTCCTGTTCCTGAGATAACTGACAAAGTGATGTACAGTATGTCACTTATGCCAAGTCCCAACTATGAACTTTTTGAATAGTGTTCCTCCTTTTGAGGAGGCATGCAGTGACTCTTAATGTAAATTAAAGTATTTATGTTGTTGAGGAAAAAGTTCTCTCCCTAGCTTATATGAAACCTACAGTAAAAGTACATGATGGGCCACAGAGGTTCAACAAAGTTCTTTGTTGAAGACAATAATACATTTGTTTTGCTGCTGTGTGTATCAAAGGGAAAGGAGAAATAGTTATCTTTGCAATACTTGGCTGTTTGCTATATTTATGGTTTAAACTATTATCTTGTGATACTTTGTCCTGTATTGGCATTGTCTCTCAGGATTAACAAGTGTCATAAATCACTATTTGGAACTATTGCTTCTTAGTGGAGAGTAGCATGAAGCTAAAACTGAAGTATTTGATGAACAGAGCCAGTGAGGTCCAAACAACCTGGCTCTCTGTTAGAGACCTTGGCTTCTGCCGTCTGCACTTCTTTGCCTCCAAGTCCCAAAGTCAAATAGGAATATCTATTTAAAGATCTATAGGTTCAGCCTGCAGAGCACCCATTACTGCGGATTGTTGCCCTGGTGTGTCTTCAACAGTTAGCCTTACATCTTTGTGTGACCCGTGTGCCATATACATGCTCTGTTGTGCTTGTTATTTCTCAGTTTTTAAGTTGAAAAGACTGTGCTCCCTGTGTCTGAAACTGCCTCAGGACACATCCCTACAAAAAAGACAGAAGTCTCTGTTTAGATGGAGGCTGTCTTAATATTGGCAGCAGGCAACGGCGGTTGTTGACAGACAGCAGCCCATTTTAAAAATAATGAGGTGCATGGGTTATTCTTGCACTCGTGTCACACCTGAAATCACGTCTCCTTCACTGTGGGAAGTCACTTATTCTGAGTGTTGTCTGGGTTTGCCCACAGAGTGCAGATGTGGGAGGGTTTTGTGTATCATTGATATTTTTACCAGGGCTGTTAAAATTAACATGTTAATCACATTAATTCATTTGTCAAATGAATCATATTAAAATGCATTCTAACAGCAGAATGACATGTAGTGTGTATCCAGATAATCCACCGTCTGTCCACTTATCATTATCTAATTGAATTTAAACTTTTAGCTTAAAATAGCATCTCACTGCCCAGCATGTGTTTGTGGAGGTTTCAACCCAGGTCAGACACCAGGGGCTGGAAGTCTGGGGCTGACAGGCTGACTGACACAAGTGCCATATGTATGGACTGAAGCTAAAGTAATATTGTTGAGGAGGAAGTTATCAAAGCTCTTTGAAACTCTAGATCCACAGTAATGATTAAAAGCCAGCAACTCTATGAAGAAAGAAATCGAGATTCTTTCTGTTCCTCTCTTTCACAGAGTTCTTTCACAGAGTCACGTTTAGCATGGTTGATTTATCTTGATTAATGAGCCTCTGGAACCGTGCGATTAATCTGATTAAATTGAAGGGTTTGAAAAAAAAAAAAGATTAGGTGAAGTCATTTGGCAGCCCTAACCCTTTACACAAATATTAGCACAAAGACAACTTACAAATCATGTATCACATTAATATTTCAAAATATAGTCCGTGATGAGTCTGTCAAGCCTTTATCTCAGCCTGATAACAATTCAAGTGTAAAATAAATGTTATCTGAATTTTACTTCAATTCTAAAAGCTCTTCTTCCTGGATCCAGTTAAAGGTGAAGTTCAGTAAGAAGGAGGCAATAATTCTGCCTCTTTATTTTTAATAATGTCTGCCTTTGCATCTTTAATGTGCTCCCTGTAATTAAAGGTGAACACTTTGCAATCAGGAAAAAACCTGGTGGGAGACACGCAGAGAGCTTATAACATGTGACACTCTTTTATTTCATGCAGTGATAGGTGAAGGGGTTGCGCAGCACTTAATCAAGCTAAAGCTAGAAACAACACTGCCAAGGCAAACACGTCTCTCTACACTCACTCAAAGAGACCAAAAACTCATTCTTTTTAATAAGGTGAAGCTAGATTTTGTAAATTTAGAGCACTCTACATTTTTAATCTAAAGTGCTATTGCTCTGTCAAGAAAATATTAAGGCCTGATAAATACAATCCACACAATTTTATAAAAAAAGATTTTGGTAAAATAATAATTTAAAAAAAAGATGATTTTTGTGTGTGTGCTTCAGTTTATTTTAACATGTGAACCAACTGTCTAGAGATACTTTTACTACTAATGGGCTCTTTAATGCAGGCATCTCTGTGTTGTTTTAAATATATATATATATCCATGAATGTTGTTGAATAATACAAATGGACATGATGAAAACAGATGGATGACCTGAGATGAAGGTAAAATCTCTCAGTGCACTCAATAATTTCCCAGTCTCTTTTTGAATTAGTGGTGATGAGGTGAAATTGCAAGTCAATTTGGTCTCCTCACTTCTAATTTGTCATTTAACTTGGAGTGCACTGCACAGACTGTCAGCACGGCTTTAATAGATTCAATTCCCAACAGTTTAAAGTTGGCTCAGACTTGATGACTCTGTGGACGATGTCCTTGGTCCTTACTTCTGTGATTGATGGAAACTGAGACTTAACTTTCCTGCAGCAATAGTTTAGATAGTGATTAAAAAAGCTTTAGGGTAATGTCAGTGGTGATAGTACAGGCAACCAGTTAGTAGCCTGAAATTTGACAGAGCTTGACTTACTGAAGCTCATATCTTCCTCATACCTCAAATCAAATTTCCTTTTTTATTCTGAATGAATAAATGAACTCGTCCATAAGAAGCAAGCAGATTTTTGTCTTTTGTTACATAAACAAAAGGTTAGTGTTTGTTTACCTTAAACCCAGTCGAAGTACTCACTCATACCAACATTACAATATCTGAATATCAGTGTTAATATTATACACAGTTCGAGACAACGTGGTGGGCGGGGTCAGCAGTCATTTGGGGCCCCTTCAAGCTGAAGTGGCCCTAAGGCAAATACCTGGGATGCCTTCCCCATTGCAAAGCAAAGAAATATTGCTTAGTTAGGCTTGATGTTTACCTGTTGTACTAAAGAATAAAGTTTAAACATGTTGGTTTATCAACTTGGATCATTTAATGATCAAACAAGCAGTAATTTAAAAAATGAAATATTTATGTGCCAAAATCTGTATTCTGTCGACTCCCTTCAGGCCCAGTAGTGTTTCTCAAACAAACAAAGTGATAGACATTTCTGGTCATGTCACCCGGCACTAATTGCAAATTTGGCCAGTGAAAATGTTGACAAGAACAAGAACCGTAGTTCATCATGTCCTTGTTTATGTGCTCTGAGCGTCTGGCCTCAGAGAGTCGTGTTGTTGTGCAGTGTTGGAATCTCACCAGTATGAGACACATTGTTGGCAACAAACCTGAGGCCTATTAAAGCTTTGGTCTGGCCACAGAGATATGATGCTGAAGAGTGACATCATAATAACTTCAGGTTATTTTTTAACTTCCAATGAGGGAGAATGACAGCGGTGGCTGACTTCAGTTTTTTAAATTTATTTTATATTTTCCCGTGGCTGCTTCTTTATGTATAAAGGTTAATGATATATACATAGCGTGTGGTTGTTAGTATTTTGTCTGTGTCTATTGTTTGTACATGAATTTCTGCACCAAAGTCAAGTGTGTTAGTGCAATAAGTGAGTGGAGGAGTAGACAGGAGTGGAGGAGGTGTGGGAACCAGATAGAAGGTAAATCATAGAATGAGTAGATAGTAGGTGTTTCCCATATAATACAGTTAATATTGTTTGTTGCTGCTGTGGGTGTTGGAAATTGGAAGTATCGTAAGATTGAACACCATCATTTTAGTTGTGCAGTTCTTGTTCATATTGGCAACAAAAGTGAAAGTAGGATTTATGAGCTTCTCACCCTCACCAGATACAGGTCTCTGAAGGATTCACAGGGCAATGAATTAAAGAGAGACTGTGGATTGATGAGGGAGCAAATTAGTTTGTTTTTAAGCGTAACAAAATGAAAATGCTTTTTATTTCTTGCCCTGGTTTGAATATTTAATAAGCTGAGAAGCTCATGTTCCTTTGCTGCAGAGAATTAATTGCCTTATATATTTATTTTTTATTTTTTATCTTTGTCAATTCCTTGATCACGTGACAAAAAGAGGGCTCACTTACAAATAGAAAAAGATAACAAAATTTAAAATGCCAGTTTTTAAACTCTCACAGGCTGACACCCTACAAGCATACAGACTTTATGTTGTTAACACCTGTAACACAAATCCAAGGAGAGAAAAAAATCATGTTTTCATAATTGCCTTTTTATTTAATTTTTTAACTTAACTCCCTAAATCGTCCACTATTTGTTTGGTGCTAAACACAAAGAGCTGCAGGAGACACAAAAAACTGAAGAACTTAACTAGGTCCCAGTGGCTTGACAGACTACTCATACTTTGTGCAGTTTGGTGGATTTATCTAGACATCCTAGACACACAAACTGTCACTTTGGGAGTGTGCATGTGTGTGTGTGTGTGTGTGTGTGTGTGTGTGTAACTGTGCTTTAAAAGTCCCTCAGAAGTCATCTCACCACTGCAGGCTTGGCTTAAGGCCGCACCATTTCATTGCTGTTCATCTTTACTTCTTATCTACCGTTAGGAGTGTTTGAGGTCGCAATGTGTGTGTATGTGTGTAGTCATCGAGTGTGTGTGTGTGTGTGTGTGTGTGTGTGTGTGTGTGTGTGTGTGTGGATGGGTCTTGATTCTTATCTGGATTATTT